TCCAGTGTGGGCAATTTAGGAGGGCCGTGTTTCAGAATAAAAAGGAAAAAGGGGTTGGGGACGGCTGAATTCAATCATCAGTACCAGAAAAAGTAAAAAAGAAAATTAAGCAGTTCGCTTACTGCATTTTAAATGTTTATTCACTCTCAAAATTACTGAATGACTGTGATCTGAGATATTTTTTAACATTATGGTAAATTCTATCACTGTATGTATATCTTGCTAGGTTTCTTATAAAAATTACCATTTGCTTCCAAAATTAACAAATTTAGATGTAAAAGGTGCTGGATTCAATCCCCAGAATCAGAAAAATAGAAAACAAGGAAGAGGAAGAGGAAGAAAAGAATTATTGTTAAGAAATTTGGGAGCTTCTCCATTTATAAAAAACAAAATGTTAATTTAAAAGTATATTATTCATAATAAGCTAATATTCTATAAAGTTGTATGCAAATAAAAGTAGGAAAGTTAGAGGAAAATATGTAGAGGCAGAGGTCTCTAGATGGAAAAAGTAGACTTGGAAGGCTCATTAGGTCTCCTAGCTAATCCTGACTAGGTGTGAAAAACAAACTTCACTAGAGAAATTTTCCTGGAAAGCAGGTCAAGTACATACTGAATGAAACTGAACAGAAAGACCAGGGCTGGCCAGATAGCTCAGCAGACTAAAGCGCCTGCTTAGGCAGAGTGCAGAGGCTGTGGTGTGCTGAGCCAGCGATTGAGACAGGGCATGGAGGTGCACACCTGTAATCCCAGCTCTTGGGAGACTGAAAACAGGAGAATTACTACAAATCTAATCTACGTAGTGAGGCTGTGTAGAACCTGTCCTAAATACATTTTTTTAAAAAAGAAAGAAAAGACCAGACCACTGGAAGAAGTGACAGTAGGCAGAGGTGCCAGAGGCCAACCCAGTTATAGCGAGTTCGGGGAGGGAGGGGTCTCCGACCCTTTATAAAAGTAGCTGAACAAAGGCCCTCAGGTCCTCCCTCTTTCCAGAGTCCCCCGACCCTGATTCTTATCAGGTAGCTAGGTATTTTCTTTCTCCGCATTCCTTTTCCTCATTACAAATCAAGTGTCTCCCTTTGGATAAACTTCATCCCTCAAATGTTTTTGCTGAGGCTGAGTTTATGATCCTGGTGGGCCACTTGGACAGCAGAACAGTGACACTCATGCCCCAGGTGTGATATCTTTGGTTCCCTGACTGGGAACCAGATATGACAAATAATGATGGTCAAAACCAGCTCTGAGGGGCCGGGGAGATGGCTCAGTGGAATAAGCGCTTCCCTGGCAAGCACAAGGACCTGAGTTCAATCCCTGGTTCTGAAAAAACAAAACAAAAAACAGCTCTGAGGGGCTGGGGAGGTAGCACAGGCTGTTTAAAGAAATATTTTTCTAATAATAAAGCTGAGCTGACACGGTGGCTGCCTCTGGGAGGCAGGAAGGAGATGTGCATGGGAAGAACACAGAGAAGAGCCCCCACAGCCCTAGTCCAGCGGTGAGGAAAGGGTGTCCCTTTAATTCTTCTAACCACACACAAATGCAGTACTTCTAGGCAACGAAGATTTCAGAAGAATTACACTGAAGACCCGGCACTGCCCAACGCTCCATGAAACCCTTAGAAGCTGCCACTAACTCTGCTACACTTCACCCCTCCCCACCCGCTCCACTTCAGAACACAGTATCAACTCAAGAACTATAAAAAGGCTCACCCTGATCTGGCTGCATCTGCCTTCTTCCCCTCCCCACTAGTCCTTAGCGCCACCATCAAGCACCTCACATGCTCTGGCTCCTCTGGCCCTTGTGCAAGCCCCTTGTACCTTCCTTGGTCTGACAAACTACTCACTGCTATGGTTTGAATGCAGTGAGTCCCTCGTCCCTTCCAGAACTCATGCTGAACTGAGACTGCACCACTGTGAAGGGAGACAGGCTAAATTCTCTTGAGAAGGAGTGCTGGGAATTGGACTCATTACCTTGAGAGCAGGCCAAGGAATGTCTCTTCTGCGGGTGCTCTCTTGCCCTTCCTTTGCCCTTCCTTCAGGTTGCAACGTAACACAAGGTCGTTGCCAAGCGTGACCGCCTCACCTTGGACTTCTGGCCTCCAGCACTGTGTGCTGAGAAAACTTGCCAGTCTCAGGTATGCAAATACACCAACAGAAAGTGGACTAAGACACTTACTTGTCTTTCAAAATATCTTTATGGGCTCTTCACATTGAGGCATCCCTCAGCCATCCTGACAAACACAAGTTCCTCCTCCAGGTTTCTGTCTGTCACAGTGCTGAAACTGTCCACATGTTGTTAAGGACTGAACTGTGTCAGCCCAAAGCTGTACATCTAAACCCTTCCTGATGTGACTACATTCAGAAATAGGCACTGTGTAGAGGTCATTAGGGTTAGATGAGGTCATAAGGGTGGGGCCCTAACTGGATGACTAGTGTCCTTATAAGCAAAGGAGGAGACACCAGGAGTACTTGGGCACAGAGGACATGCCATAAGAGAAGAAAGTGAGAATGTACTGTCTACAGAGGCAGAGAGGTGGTCCTTACAAGAAAACAGCTCTTCCAGTGCCTTGGATTTGCAGGCTCCAGATCCATGAGAGAACAAATCCTGTGGTGTCAGCTGCCTGCTCTGTGAGAGTGTCTGGCAGCCTGAGCTAATTAACACACACGTCTGTCTCTCACCTGCCCCTCGCCATGCCCATACCCACACACTGGGTGCTCAGTGGAGTCATGGGAGACTGGTAGACACATGGATGCATGCACAGAGAGATGAGCTGCCTGGACTCTCCTGAACTCTATCAAGGGGATTTTTAAATGCCTAACTTATTTTGCAAAAAAAAAAAAGAAAAGAAAAAAGAAAGAAAGAAAGAAAGAAAGAAAGAAAGAAAGAAAGAAAGAAAAGAAAAAAAAAGAAAAAAGAGAGAAAGACATT